GGGTGCGGCGGCGAGGGCTTGAAGTGGAAGAGCGGGAAGCGCGCGCCGGCGACGGCGGGCACGGCTTTCATGGGCGGGTCGAGCAGCGGGCCCGGCGCCAGGCAGCCCTGCGCCGAGGGCAGCGCGTCGTCCCACAGCGCCCCCGTCTGCGGGGGGAAGCCCGGCGTGCTGGGCGTGGACGGCGGGGACTGCTTGAAGTACATGGAGGTGCTGGGGAGCACCTCGTCCTCTGGGCCGGAGGGGGGCGGAATGGAGGGCTGCTGCTGCTGCTGCTGGTGGTGATGGTGGTGGTGGTGGTGGTGGTGATGGTGGTAGCCGTGCGCGCGGCCCTCCTCCATCTTGATCAAGGGCCGCGGCGGCTGCATTTGGTACAGGCAGGAGGGCTTGAGTTCGTAGCCGCTCGAGTAGCTCTCCATGAAGGTGCTGAAGCTGGGCAGGGACGTGGTGGCAGTGGCTGTGATCTCGGTGCTGCCAAGGTCCATGGTCAGCTTGGTGTAATCGGGATTCATGATCTCCGAGGTGTACTCCGAGCCATAGGTCTGCGCCGCATAACTGGAACCTGGAGGTGAAGGGCTATACTGGGCTTGCACGCAGGGCATATCTGCGGGGACAGGGGCACAGAAAGGTGGCTCAGAAGCATATCTTTCTAGGTAATAGCATTGCATCCATTGCGCTCAAATTTAGGAAGACGAAAGGAAGTTTTCCCTTCTCTGACCATGCTTTATCCTTGATAAGGGGATGTTTTCTCTGTGATATGCATAGGGATTATATATATGTGTGTGACTTTGAGGCCTGTAAAGGAATTGGAGTGGCCTCTTCAGCTACAGCTGGAGGACAAAGAGAAAAATCAGTGAGTGCCCTCAGTGGTTTATTTTTTGGTTAAAGAAACCATTGGTCCCCAAGACACACACAGTGACCGGCATTAATTAAACCTGCATTAGTTAAAAAGGGAAAAAAGATGCTCCATGTATGTAGGTAGCTCTTACTGGCCCAAGATAGACAGTGACACTCTAACATTTTCTGAGTGCCAGTTGAGAATGCCCACACACGTTGTAGTCAATTTCTCCCACCTCCTCTCCACCTCTCTTCTAGGAAAAAGAGCCTAGCAGCCTGTGCAAACTGGATCCCTCCGCTCCTCACCCCCCTGACTTCAGCCAACGAGGTGGTGAGGTGGCAAAGTAGGCCCAGGAAATGAACTGTGGGAGTCTGTACCATCTGCAAAGGAAAAGATCAGCAGCTCCAACAAGATGCCCACTAAGCCTACTCCTTTCTGCCACGGTGTGTGTGTGTGTGTGTGTGTGTGTGTGTGTGTGTGTGTATCTGCATTTCCTCCCCAACTCTAATAAAATGTGTCCGTGGCTGTTTATGACAACCGTTTACAACTATCCTCGCAGGTGATTTATTCCAAGTATTCTTTTACCAGAGAAGAATTAGTACCCCTGGAACAGAAGAAAGCTGATTGTGAACAGCTTGGGTTGCTCTGCCAGTTTGACAACTACAGCCTCCAAGGCATCTGACAGCCAGGGTGCTTCCTATTGTTCAGAGAGGTTGAACTGCGTGAGAGGCTCTGGGAATGATTAGTTCCAATGGATGGTTCATCTACTTATTTTCCTTTCTTTCTGGCTAAAATATAAGTGGTAAAATGGGCAATTTTCAGTGGTTGGGTTTTCTGAGACAAAGGAAAAACCAGGTGCTAACATCTCTTTGGAGCCTCTGGTGTAAAAGGTGTGACTAATAGAGAAGTGAGTAGTTCACATTTCCTTTGACATCTTTCTCTTACCCACATTTCCAAATCTGATTGAGTCATGCATGTATGGGATGAAATCTTGACTTGAAAAAAGGTGATGAGGGCCTGTTGGAAGAAGCAGTGATGAGGAAGGGCCAATTCAAGCCTTAAAAGCAGGGCCTTTAAAAGACACTTGCTAGTTTGAGGTTAAAGGATTACTTATCTTGCCATCCAGTTGTTGGGGATGAAATCATCACCGGTTGGCTTTTCATCTCTTTTCTTTTGACACTTGTACGATTTCTCCTCCATTAGTCTTTTCTGTCATGCTCTCCTGCCAATCCCAACCCATCTCTGCTTGTGTCTGAGAGAAGATGCATGTGTGTGTGTGCTGGTACTGTGTTCTGTGTACTACTTTGTTCTATGTATGTGTCTCTGATGCTTACACAGTCTTGGCACCTAGTAGCTTTTTAAATGTGTGAAAAGGTGGTGTAAACCAAACCTGCAGCCCTTGCCTTAGCCACACTCAAGTTTGCTTCCTGGTTTTCACCTCAAATACCCTTTTCTTTCTCTCTGAGCCTTAATGACCCAAACTTCTGCACTCAAAGGATTATACAAACGAAAACGCCCTGCATTGCTCCAAGTGACCCCCACCCCCATCATTTTAAATGCTTCAACCTGATACAAAAGGAAGGTAAAAGTGAAGACATTAAAAATGTATTTTAAAAGGACGCCAGTCAATCAGGGTGTTTGTATTTTTCTCAATTCTCCCCCCCCCCCTTAGAGAAACGCAACGCTTACTCCAGTAGGGCTTACTCCAGGAGGCATTAGGTAGCAACAGGGTGTGGTACAGAGGAGCATCCTGCGAGGAAGCCACCTGCTCTGTGAAATTCAAGGTGCCGTCGCTGCTCTGGGGCTGACAGGCTGACCAACCTGGCCACTGGATGTCAGGCTCCCCAGCCCACCTCTCTCCACCCATCAGTTTGTGCGTCCTGACCTACCTGGAGGGTATCTTGCGCGCTGAATGGTGGGGCTGGGGGTCCTTCCAGCCGAAGCTGAGGGCAGAGGAGGTGGAGATGTCCGGTGAGGCGATGCGGCGGCGGTGCTGCTGGGTTCCACTGAGGGGCTGTTCTCAGGGCCCGGGCTTGCTGGGCTGCGCTCCTTCACAGAGGGCCCTGCTGGCACCGGGAAAGGGGGCAGAGGTCACACGAGAGGTCACGCTCGGGCCCCTGGGTCTAGGGTGGTCTTTTTCTGGGGGGGAGGCTGGGATCTAGAAATACTGCCTAAATTACAAGGAACTAAGAGCTCAAAAAAGGAGACCTTAAGGGGACCTCCGTCCCTGGGTAAAAAGCTTCGAACCTCTTGGATGAGCCTTAGCAAGGTGTCTGTCCTCGCTGCGCTTAACATCCTTTTGTGGCACACAGACTGCAGCTAAGAGACACGCAGCCAGTCGTCTCCCAGAAAAGGATTCTGTGGCCCCACATTTGGCTGTACGTTTTCAAATACTCGAAGACGGAAGACAGACCACTTGGGGAATGAGTTCCGCCGGAATTCGGGGGACAGGCAATGTGCACCAGCGGAAAATAGCTCTTTTCCAACTCTGCCCGCCCCTACTCCTCAAATACAAATGTTACATAGGAAGAGTGCACAAGGCTCGTAATGAATGCCTCGAGGAATTAACAAAGTCGTCGCTTTTCATTCTAAATGCTAATGGAGCTCAGCGTTTATCAGCCTCGAGTTCGAGGGGCCAGGGGTCAAGCAAACAAAGCTCGCAGAGGAAATGAGGCCCGCGTGCAAGGGAGCAAGGCGAAGGGGCGGTCGGACCTCAAGGCTAAGCAGGAAGGCGGAGGGATGCCTGAAGCACCCAGCGGCAGCAGGCCCAGAGTGGGTGGTTTGGAGGCTGCAGGCCACTCTGAGGTGGTACATTCCCGGCTCCCCGGGCACGCCACTCCCGCAGAACTTTGTAGCTGGGAGCGATGCTCCGCTGGTCGCTTGGGGAAGGTTCTGGAGGCCCTCAACACCGGACTGTAGCGCCCCCTTTGCCCATACCTACTTATAGCTCGAGGGGAAGAAACATGGGGTCAAAACACCCAGTAAGTCAGGACTATCCGAGCTGCCGGGGGCTGTGTTTAGATTCCCGCCGCTCCTGCGCCCCCGTGGTTGCCTAGAGTAAAACAGAGCTGGGCCTTGAGACACCCCCCCCTCCCGGTCTGGGAAGCCCCTCGCCCAGGAAATGGGGATCCCCTTGCCACCCCAGCCGTACAGATGGAAAGCGTGTGCTCCTATGGGTGTAGACACTCGCGAACCTCCCTAAGGCTGCTGCGCGCGCCTCCTGCGCGCCAAGCATCTTTAGTGGAGCTCTCCAGGAAAGCCCCATTCCCTCCAACAGTAGGACCCCTAATTTTCCCATTTTCTGTGGAGGCTATTTAAAGAAAGACTTTTTCCAAAAGGGCAGGCAGCCTCTGATTCTGGCGGACGGCGGTCGCGCCTCTCCTAAGACTGGATTCCCTCAGAGCGCGCAACTTTTGCAGGAGAGAGCGCACCGCCAGCCCCCTGCCTCCCCGCTCTCTCCGCCCCCTCAACAGCTATGCCCGTTACCTAGGCAAAGCCTGGGCTCCTGGAAACATGTTCAGCCGCTCGCGGCCCGGAGCACAGAGCCTCGAGGTTGTAAATTAGTAAGAAATAACTCCTCTGTCAAAGCCCCTTTCTTTCTCGTAGGCCGACGAAAGGAACACCCCCGTGTTCCCCTCCCGGTGGTGAAGTGTGTGGAGGAAACCGTGAAATGCACCATTGTGACCCGGGCTCCTCCGCGGAGTTTCCAACCCTGGGGGGTAGGGACAGAGGTTGGACGGGGGCTGGAGGAGTGAGGAGAGACTGTCAGAAAGGGAAAGACAGAGATTCTCAGAAAAGACCAAGAGAGACGGCGGTGGCGACAAACCGCTGCGAGACAAACCGGTCGCATGATAGGGGGTAGGTGGGTGAAGGGGGAGGGAGAGAGCAAGAAGGCTGCTGGGGCCTAAAGAGTCATTGACAGGCACATTACCAGCATCTTGTTCAGCAAGAAACCTCAAATAAACTCGAACTTTATTCATTGTACCTCGTACCCGTGTTGGGAAGCTTTTACTTTTGCCAAGTGGGTTCTAGTGTATATTTCGCCATCGTGGGGGAGAAGGGAGGTAGAAGGTTGGATTTGCGATAAAAAACGAAAGGGTTCCCTGTATCCCTTTCCCTGAACCCTAAGGTCCTGGGGAAACAGCCTGCGATTTCTCAGACCAAACTCCTCGCAGCTCTTCCCTCCGGAGAATCCGGAGGCAGAAAGAAAAAAGACTATCTCCAAGATCGTTCTTTGGAATCAAGACACAAACGTTTCTCCCTCACTACGGCCCAAGCCTCCCACAGGTTCGCTGGCTGTGGCGTGGGACTCTCCTTTCAAGCTCAGCAACTTTCATTTCTTTTTACAAGAGTAAAACAGTTGGAGCAACTTCTCCAAAGGCACCGAGTTCTGCCAGTTAAGAGGAAAAAACAAGCTTTCTCCACACTGAACCAAGGCCAGGAAGAGAGGGCCACGGTCCCCACGCGTGTCAGGGCACCGAAGCCAGCAATTACACCCGATTACCTCCAAGGGGACAAGTGTGAACCCGCAAGTCCAGGACGCCCCGCAGACGTGCCTGGCGGAGCCCCAGGCTCATTTCAATACAATGAACCACATTCCTACAATTACGCCCATTTCCCTGGGATACAGTCCGTGCGCCTCTGCAAACTCCGGCTGTCGCCGCCCTGGACCCTTCCTTCCCAAGCTCACTCGCAGCCCACCACCTCCAGAGTCACCACCGGCTACATCAGCTGGGACCCAGTAGGTTAACTTGGACCCTGAGATTTTCAATCTCACCTAAAAGGCAGGGAAATTACCGCCTTTTATCACTAGGAGCTGCAACTCCCTGCCGCCGCCGCCGCCGAGAGCATCATTACCATGACAACTAGAGCCGAAATACCCTGAATTACAGCGCTGGAGCTGCTATTACACACATCTAGGTCCTTCTCTTTGTTAGAGGCTTTTCGCCTCTCCGGGTCGAGGGAAGACTCCCACGAGCTCCCAAGATCCCCATGGGCCAGCTCCGGTGGGGTGAGGGGTGAAAAGTTTCAAATTAGAACCCACCACCGCGAGGCCGAAGCTGGGAGGCTCAACACTCAAAAGTTGTCAATTTCGGGAGCGACGCGTCCCAGCGCTCCCAACTTTTTAGCAAGTCCCCCTATGAAGTAGGCGAGTGTCATACGTACTCGAGTTCTGTGGCGATTCCGTCTTTAAAGCGAGTTTCTAGAGAGCGGTCCCAAAATCTGCACCGGGGGAGAGGCGCAGCTGCTGTCCCGGTAGGATTGCGGTGGAGAAGCCCAGCGGCTCCCAGAGGCGGTGAGCGGCTGCTAGCGGGATGCTGCGGTCCCAACTCATGGGAGAGCGCGGCCGAAGGGTTCCGCGGGCGTTCTGGCTCTGGCTGCCACCAAAGGGGAGGATGCCGCCGCCGCTCGCACCTCCACGACCACTGCCGGCGCTGTCAGCGTTGCAAAGTGCGCCCAGGAGGGGCGTCCGGCTAGGGCGCCGCGCTGCACCGGCGAGGGCGCGGGGCGAGAGGGGTGTGAGCGCGCGGGAGAGAGTGGAGTGTGTGTGCGGAGCGTGTGAGTGCGCGTGTGTCTGTGCGAGTGAGGGAGCGGGTGTAAGTGTGTCTGTGTATGGGGAGCGGAGGAGGAGCAGGAGCTGGAGGGGTAGGGGGCGGGAGGCAGGAGACTCCGCTCTCCCGGCTGCGCGTTCGCTCGCTCTCTCGGCACGTCATTTATGCCACAGGAGCCCAAGCCTCTCCATAGAGTGCCTGGAATGCAAGACGTCAATGTGACGCCATGGGACGCTACGTCACCCTCCTCCTCCCTCCCCTGGCCCAGCCGGTTCCGCGTGTGCGAGGGAGGGTGTGTGAGTGCATGTGCGCGCGCGCGCGCGCGCTCCCCAGCCAGTCGCACGCCCACCCGCACAATGGAAACTGAGTGGCACGGCCGGCCCGGGCCTGGGGGCATTGCGGACCTGGGAGGCCAAGCCCTGTGCAAAGTGGCGACAGCGCTCCGCTCGCTCCTGAGGGAGGGTGTAGCGGCCCGCCCGCCGGTCAGGCGGTCCCGCCCAGCTGTCAGGCTCGGGTGGAGTAGACTTGGAGGAGTGCTGCTGGCGCGCTTCCGAGGCTGCCCCGAGGCAGCGAGCCAGGGCCAGGGGGTAAGGGAGAGGACAGCTCTTCCGAAAGGGAAGGCCCCGTCAGCCAGCGTCTCTGAGTGACCTGGCAGCCAGTACTGAAGTCAGGCAGCAGCCTGAAGACTCCCGGGAGGTACAGCTGCTCTTTCTACACGCAAGGGTTCTCAAACTGTTTACGTCTCCCCGGCCCTGTGCAGCTAGGCTGATTATCTTCCTGCCCTCTCCCATGGGTACATGTTTCTCACAGGGCTGAAATAAACTTCAGGGATAAAGTTTTATTTCTGTCCATTTACGATGTGGCTTTTCTAATTGGACACACTATAACCCTACGTGCACATCCATTACCCACGCGCGCGCTGTAGCAGAAACTATGTGTATAAAACAAATACACGTGTTCAACAGCTGAGTAGGTCCGACTGTTGCAAATCATTGCCTCCCCACCCTACTCCCACTAGAAATTGGGCTCAGAACTCACACTTTCACTTTTCGATGGCTCTAGACAAGCTCCCCCCTCCTATCTTCCAAATGAAACATTTCGAAATCAATAAAAAAAATTATTTAGTCAATCTCCCGCTAAGGGTTTCGATCTGGTCTCCAGAGATACATTTGTCATGAAATGGTGTGCTGAAAGCTTGGGGCACTGTGAGCGGGAAATCAATCCCCCCGCCCCCTGGAAATAATGAGTTCCAGTATGAATTGTTTTGCTGAAAATAAAAACAAATCACCAAATTTAAAACACCTCCTAGTTCCAAAGGTTAAAAAAAAAATCTCTTTTTAGAAAGGAACTTTTGAGGAGAGAATATTTCAGTAATATGATACAGACGTAGTCCCCTGTGCTCCGTTTGAATGACATGTGACACCTTTTATTTCTCTGACCTGTCACAATCTTTGAATGTATATGTGTGCTGCTCAGGGGCGGAGTCGAGGGAGGATCCCCTGG